AATTATTGAAAAGGAGAAGTCTCAATTAAATAAAAATTAAATTACATGATTAAAATATACATAGAATTTGCATGAATTAACAATGACATTGTACAATTTAAAATTAAAATTAACAATAATTTTTAAAAATTATAAAAATAGGCAAAGGTTGTATTTACTTGCGGAGAAAATAAAGTAAGTAATGAAAGTTTTAGAACGTAAGAAATTTAATTAAAGTATAAGAGAATGGGCGATGAAAACATGAAAAGAAAGGAACCTATTTAAACAAAATCACAAGGCCAAAAAGTAGAGGTGGGAAGATAAGTAGGCCTGACACTTCAGGGAAGGGCTCAATCTTTATGGACCCAGCTCTTAAGGGATTTGGCCCTTGAGCCCAATTTCTTAAAAAATGATTGATTTTTGAAGTTCAGTCCTTATTTGAAGGGTTTAGGACCGGGCTCATAAGCCTATTTTATTTTTTAAAAAATAAATACAAATACAGATATAGAATCTTAGTCAAGTTTTAAAATTAAGATAGAAATTTTCAATTCAAATTAACTTTATCAAATCTAATAAATATAAAAACTTGCATATTATGGAGTACAACATTAATCAAAACTAAGAAATAGATCTTACAGAGTAATCATTTTTAAGAAATTAATAAAAAAAAATGTCAATATCATGTTAAAATAAATGGCAAAAGAACCAATATCAATTATTTTGGCAACACAATGCTTGAAAGATTGTCAATATCAAGGCTAAGCCTAGAAGCTTGATTTCCCACAAAACCACTAAGTTTTCAAGTCTGAGTCCTTATCTAAATAGAGCCCCCAAACTTGACCTTTTAAGCCCGGCCCTTATTCTCACACCTTACTAGAAAGTATCCTTAAGCAAGCTCTTGTTCATTTAAATCTAATCTATTTAATTTAAAGAGGTTTTGAAAAATTTATAAATATAAGTATATTTAATGTAAATCTAATCTAAATATAAATAGAAATATGAAGAAAGAATATTAGTTTGCCAATCAAGTTTCTCAGAGGTTTAAAGAATATAAATAAAAATCTATTTAATCTAAATATAAAAGAAGAATCTAAACATAATATAAATAGAAATATAAAAGAAAAATAAAATAAAACTGTCACAATAAATTTTAATTCACCAATCAAGTGTTTTCTTTTTTTATAACGACCAGTCAGTTAATCAATTGTCTTCTATAAAATTTGAAGAGGTTTATCTGTCATATTATTCTATAACACTTGACAGAAATTTGATACCTAAACATAAATAAAAAAGAAGAATTAAATACAATAAAAAATAATTAAATAAAAAATGTGATAATAAATTTAATTGACCAATAATAAATATGTGATGATAAATTTAAGGTTAAAGGCCTTTGAAGCATTCCCTAGGAAGTACTCAACACTCTAAATTATTGGTTGGAGCAATTTTGTTCTTAAAGTAATTAAAATGGAATATTTTTACCATTTCCATTAAATTCCATAATAGTCAATGTTAGAGTCTCAGTTAATATTTCAAATGATCAACATTGGGAATTTGACGAGAAGGGCAAAAATACTCCGTTTTAATTATTTTAAGGGCATAATTGCTCCAACCAATAGTTTAGGATATTGGGCACTCTTCAGAGAATACTTTAGGGGCAAAAATGCACCTTTACCCTAATGCTATATTTGGAGAGATGTGGATTTCAATTTGAATTAAGACGAATTCATCGTTTGAGTAATGAAAAATATGTGGATTTAGATTTAACCCAAATGTGAATCCCACCTTGATCTCTTTGTAATTTCAAATAGTTTCTAAACTTCTATTATATCAAATTTCCATGGAAGCCTCTCTCTTCCTTTACATTCACTCGTCAATTTCAACATCACTACCTTCGATTGACTCCCACTGGGACCACATTGCTGGCGATGATGAGGATCGGATCTTCAACACTGATTACGACTGAATTGCTAGCGCCTACCGAGATTCGACACTCGACTTTGACCAAGATTGGACAGCTAGTGCTAACTGAGACTAGATTGCTAAAGCCACTTGGGACAGGACTTCTGACGCTAACTAGAACTGGACTGTAGGCAACGATTGGGACCTAAATTTTGTGTTGATTGGGTTTAGGAATTTCAAATTTCAATCCAAAACCCTCAAACTACTATAATCGTTTTGTGCTAATTTGCAGACATTGTTTGGGATCGGACTGCCGATGTCGACTGGGACTAAGCTGTTGCTGTCGATTGAGACTGGACCATAAACGTTGTCCAGGTTTGGATGGCTGGAGTAGATTGAGACCAAGGCGCCACACCTGATTTAGACCGGACCACTGACTTTGATTAAAATCGAACCACTGACATAATCTGAGTTGCCTTTAAATTCAAACATAAAATTTAAAATTTAAAATTTTATTTGAGATCCAAACAAAGGATTTTAATATTATAATTTAAAATTTTTTATATTATCCAAATAAAGAATTTAAAATTTATGAATTTCAAATGTGAGATTTCAAATTCAAATTCCCAACTCAAATCCATCCATCCATCCAAATGCAACCTAAATTTAATTGATTAATAATGTAAATAAGTGACAATGAATTTAATTGACTGATTAAATTTCACCCACAAAGATTTGAAGATATAAATAAATAAATAAAAGCTTAAAGTATACTTTTAGTCCTCCAATTTTATATAAGGTTTTAATTTGGTCTTTTAATTCTGTATCTTTCTAGTCCTTTAATCCTAACATTGTTAGTCTCAAGTGATTATTTTTTGTATCAATCATTATTATTTTTAAAAAAATTGAACTTAATAAGTCAACATTTGAAAATATTTTGTCAATATTTAAAAGTTTAATGTAAAAATTTGTTGAGATAAAATTAACAGTGTTAGGGTTAAAGGACTAAAAAGATATTTTATAAATTTAAGAAATTAAAATGAAATGTTATATAAAATTGAAGAATTAAACGCATACTTTAGCATAAATAAAATAGATAGATAATATAATAACATAATTCCGGTCTTCGACAGGAAATAAAACAGAATTTCGGTCCAAGAAGGGGTGTTGTTTATACCTGAGAAACTAGCCCATTAATGGACCCGACCCATCTTGAACCATGTCACTCTTCTTTCTCCAAACCCACAAGCACCAAAACAGAGACTTCACTGAGGATTCAACTGTGCTAGCTTAGCCACACCGGTGGCAGAAGAAAGAAAGAGGTTTGTGAGTGTCGCACCCAAAATGCGACGCAAATGATGTGCGAGAATGGAGGTTTCAACTTTTAGGACAAAAACTGGTTGAATGGGAGTTGTCACCAAAATTTTAAGAAAAATCTTGAAAAACTATTTAAAGGGAAATAAAGATAGTCTATAAAATTAAAAAATAAATTTGAAAGTCAATTAAGTACGGAGAAGGTGTTAGGCACTCCATAACACCTGTTCGTAAGAACAATTACCTGAAGTTTGTTGTGCTATATTAATATGGTTTTAAAGTTATTTTAATTATCCCTTTTTTATTCATGTGTTTGATATAAGAATGATAAGAATTAATTGAGAAATATTAATTTATTTATAAAAGAGGACTTGACTCAGAATCAAACTCTGAGGCTTATGTACCCTACGATGGAGATTAAAGTTCACGTAGTTCGGGATTATAAATTGTTGTGAAAATATATATTTTTTGAAGAGAAATTAATTAAAAATAATTCACCATCTAGCAAATAAAACAATTTTTGAAATTTGATATGTGTGTTTTAAATTGCAAAAAGTAATTTAATTTCAATTATTTTCTTAATTTTTGAATTTTTGGAAAAAAGAAAAGAAAAGAGTTTAAAAATTATTTTTTTTATATTTCATGATTGAAAATTTAACCACTACACCTACAGAGCCTTAATGACTCATACGATAATATAATTATTCTATATATCTGCGAAGATTCTAAAATCTCACACAATAAAAGAGTTTAACAACTTAATTTTTTTATTTATATTTTTAAGTGTTAGTAATAATTTGTTTAAGCAAGTATATATATTTTTAAAAAATTTTAATCGTCATACTTGTAAAGCTTTATTGACTGATATGGTAATATAATTATCCTAAATATTTGCGGACATTCCAAAATCTCACATGATAAAAGAATTTAATTTATTTAAATATATTTTTATTCATTTAATTGATTTATTATGCATGTAATGTGTGTGTGTGTGTATTATATGAAATCCTAATCGTTATATCTACAGAGCTTTATTAACTCACATGGTAATACGATTATTTTAAAGGTCTATGGAAATTTAGAAACCTTATGTGACCAAGAGATTTATCAATTAATTATTTAAATTCATTAATTTAATTAATTAATTTTAAAAAATGTTTATTATTTTATTTACAAAATCTATTTATTTATTTATAGAAATTGAGAATCGCGATATCTGTGAAAACTTATTATCCCACATGATGATGTGATTAATTTAAGTATTTATGAAGATTCTTGAAATCTCACATGACACTTAAATATTTTATTGATTTAAATTTTAAAAAGAGAGTTAATTTTAATAATAGGCCTTTGAAACCCATATTAATATATACAAATTGAATCTTCATATATGCAAAATCTTATTGATTACATGGTAGATGATCATTAAAATTTTTAAAATCTTACACTGCAAGTAAATAATTAAAAAGAAATCCTCTCTTATTCATTTCAATTATTGCCACAAACAAAAAAGTTATTGTGACCTCTCTTTTTTAAACATATCAATTTCTTCACTGTCCTTGGCCAAAATGTGACAGCATAATGTCCAACCCAGGTCAAACATTTTGGACAGCAAATCAAATTTTCCTTTGGAGTTTTCATCTACATGCAATACATATTAAAGGTTTGCTGAAAATGATTAACTACAGCAACTGGAGAGCAACCATCAATAATCAAACTTGTAACGAGACCAGTCTAAGACCAAATGCAATCAAGCAACTTCATCACTATATTGTTTTTCTCAGCCAAAACAACGACAGGAAAAATGCAAAAAATTCATCTTCTGAAATTTAAATGCCTTTGAACATGCATGAATAATCAACGCAGCACAAGCGTCCTAAAAGCACAAGTCAGAACAGAGCACCTCATGCCAAATTCTCTATCCATCCATTCTAACAAAGTATATACACTCAGAGGATTTATCAAAGAACTAACAGGACATATTAATTGAATCCTTTCTAAAACAAAAATCAATCTCATGTTCAAAAATTTCTCATGGTCCCCTACTCTGATCAAAGCTTATGATATTTAATCATAAAATTTGGAAATGAGAAATCAAAATCAAACATAAAACATTCTAAATCCAAAAGCAAACAAATTAGAGAACCTGTGTAGTGCCAAATCGCTCAACATCCTCTAGCTTTTAGTTGTTCTCCATTATTCCATGTGCTTCATACTCAGATCCCTCTTAATCTCTGAATGCTCTCGTCTGCGTCAATCTTCGACTTCTCTCCATCTCTATCTCTTTGTTTTTTTAAAACAGTCTCCAGAAATCTCCTAGCTCTTCGGTCTAAGCTCTCGGTTCCTCTCCCTTTTCAGAAATTTCTCCATCTCAGATTCAACCTTCTCACCCTCTCAGTCCCAGATCCCTTTTTCTTTTTTTTAGCCCTCTTGGCCCTCCTCTATGTGCGTGCGATCAGCAAAACTCTGAATCCCTGAGGAAGATGAGGGGAGATATGCGATGAAGTGGTAAGCCCCAGATTCAAGCAAATGGCTGAATTGAATCAGCCTCCATCATTTGTGCGTTTCCTCCCTTCTCCCTCGTTCATGCCTTCTTTTCAGACAATCGCAAGGATGAGCTTGTCTTCCTCTTCTCGATTTCTTTTCTAGAAAACAGATCACCAAAATCTCCAGAAATCTCTTCTCGATCTCTTCTCCTAGAAATCCCCAGACCCTCTTAGATCTTCGGTCTCTCCTCTTTCTCCAGATTGCTCTCAATCTCTCTCAGTTCTCTCATGTTCTTTTTTTTCGTCCTCAGTCCCCATTCAGACCTCCCACATCACTCTCAATCTCTCCCTTATATTGAAGACTAAAAGAAAAAAAAGAAAAAAAATTACCTTGTGTGAGAGATTTGAATGCGTGTGGCCGAAAGTCTGCTCTGCTCTTCATCTCTGGGTTCCTCTTTCCCCTTCAGAGATCTCTAGTTTACTGTCTTCATATGCCAGTCTTGCTCTTCTATGTTTCTTCTGTGTTTTAGTGTGTGTTTAGAGCTATACTCTCTCTGCTCGTGAGTAACTCTGCGCGTGCTCTGCCTTTCCCTTTTTCTTCTGCTCTGTCGTTTCTTTGCCCTTCTGTCCAGCCGAAAGTAGTTTTTGGGCTGGGTGAAAGTTTCACTCGCCCTATTTCTTTTTTTTTTTAATGCCTTTTTTTCCTCTTTTTTTGTGTTAATCAGATTAAGGGAGAGAGAGAAAAATTTGATTTTGAAATATATATTTATTTTTTTATGAAAAACAATAAGATTTAAAAAGTTAACTCTTAAATTGATTTCCAATATTTTTAAATGGTTGGGATAATTTGAAAAAGATTGTTCAAAGATTTAAGCAAGATTTTTTTTGAAAATATAATCCTAAAAAGGATTAAATTTTGTTTTTGTATTTTTGTGTTTTTTGGTTGTTTTAATGAAATAAAATCTTAACCAACAAAAGATTATCTAATTAAACCCTATTAATTAAAGATTTTTTTTTTTGAAAATATAATCCTAAAAAGAATTAAATTTTATTTTTGTATTTTATATCTTTTGATTAAATTTATTATTATTTTTATTAAATTTAAAAAATATCCGAATAAAATATAGTATTTACAGTGAGCCTATTTTATGAGACCGAGCATTGCACTATAGAGAGTGAAAGCAGGAGCAAGAGTTCGACTCAGACTAATATAGAAGGCTTCGAACTTTGAATCTTCCCATGGAGGCTTTCAATCACGTCAGCAACATGTATGATGTTGTTTCCGTGATTAAGACTCACCGTCTCCTTTCTGAATCCTTCACCGATGACATGGACCTAAAGCAAACTGAACGCTGGAAATCTGCAGTTGATTCGTGGATCGACTGCATTTTGACTCTCGCCTCCAGCGACATCGTAAATATGATTGTTTTATGGTTGTACTTTGTTTTGAATGAATTGGGGCATGTTTATTTTTCATGTGAGCAAAAAGCCGTGATTTTGCAAACTCTTTACTGCTTCTTCACATATGCAAAAGTTTATCCTTGAGTTACAATTGAGTTTTATCCATTATGGGATGTTGGAAGGTATATTTGTGAATTTATGGTCATATTTCTACTCCCTCTGTTTCTATATATAAAAAAAAAAATTTGGTGACTATTTTAACTTAAACAATAATTTTTTTTTTAATAATGATGAACAACCAATTACAACTTTTCCTTTGTAAATGCTAGACGAAAAGTTGTAATTGATTGTTCTTCGTTACTAACCAAAATGTCATTGTTTAAGTTAAAATAATTACTAATATTTATTTTTCATTTTAAATTAGGAGTATTTTAATTATTTCACAAAAAATTATTAATGTTTGAAAGGTTCTTAAAAACTTAAAAAAAATTAAGATACCTTATAAGATCTCATTGTCATTTACATGTTTTAAAGGATTAAATTGCATTTGTTTCTTCACTTTTCTTCAAAGAGCACTAAGCATCCTGTATTAGTAAGTGAGATATGTTTTCTTTAAACTACATTTTAGAAGAGAAAAATATCTCCCTCCATTAGCGGATGACTAAAAGGAGAGGATTTTTTATTATAAAAAAATAGTTTGAGAACAAATATTTTATTTTTTAGCATAGGGTGTCAGCCCTCTTGAACAAAAATGAAAGAATGAAAATGTACTTTTAATCAATATAGAAACCACGGAAACACCGACACGCTCACGCACACGAGAGCTAGCTAGCTGGTTAGGCGTACACTTTCTAAATTGAAGGTTCCAGCCAAGCAGGAGAAAGAAAATAAGAGGACATGAAAGGCACTTTCGCCATCCTTGCACCTATCTGAATGTAACATATATCTGGTTTTTCATATTCATGTCTTTAATTCAAATACTAAAGATATACAGATTCTGAATTGAGATAAAAGCATGTATGGAGAGAGGTTTCCGCAAGGCCATCTTTATACACGCCATATTGGAATTTGGAACTTGGGAAGAGATGCCCCCATTAAAAAAGTGCCACCTAACATGATAATTCTCTGAGGAGATGACTTTATGACCCTTAAAGTGGGTCCACACGCAGACATGGCGGCATCCTCCTCCTCTTCCTATTTTTGGAGTCATCAATCAGGTGTGAGGAAGCTTCAAGTTCAGTTTTTGTGTTCCTCAACTACTTTGGTGAGTTGCCTCTTTTTGTTCTGTGTGTGTATATGTCGAAGAAGTTGCTGCTGTAATGGTGTCTGACTTCAAACTCTCCTTCTTACTGAACCTATGCTAGTGGCTGTGTGATTTGATGATTGAAGTTGAAATATTTTCTCTCCCACTGCTGCTGTCCGTAACATATATGTGTGTATAGGAAGAGGAAATTTGATTTAAGTTGAAATTAGTAGTTGTAAGAGAGAGAGAGAGAGAGAGAGAGAGAGATGATGGTGTGAGTTTGAGATTTAACTGAATTTGATTGGCTTATTGATTACAATATTGTAAAATTTTTGGGAGAAGGAATCAAGGAGACAAAAGTTGGATTGAGTTTAATAATTGGTGCGCGAAAGGTGTTTGACAAAATGCTTATTAGAAGAAGTTTTGCTTGATTTGGAAATTTTTTGAGATTTTATTAATTTTAGGGAGAATTGATTCAAGCTGAAATTTGAGTATTAAGAGCAACATGATAATTGATAGATTTGATCTTTTTTTGTGAGTTCAAGATTGGTTTATGTTGAAGGAATGATATTGAGAAGCTCAATTAATTTAAAGACTGATATTGGAGAATTAATGGAGAATGGTTCGGATGAAATTGGCAGAGAAGAGCCTCCTAGACTTAAAACTTGAAGATTAATACCCATATAGTGTTCAATAAAATACCCATTGAGAGAATTTTGCTTGATTATGTATTTAATGAAATTTTATTAATTATGGTGACAAGTACGATTGATTGAAAAACTATGTAGTTGAGTTTTAACTTGAATATTGCAAAGAGCTTGATGTTAAAGTTATTGTGTGGTTAGTTGAAATTTTGGAAGTTTTATGTTAGATAATTTAAAACTATGGTATTGTTTTATTGTTTGGTTTTGAGAATGCAATTAAGGTGTTTGGCACAATGGGTGAATAGAATATGCTAAATTTAATTATGGGTGATGATTATAAATTATAGTATTGTCTTATGACTTAAATTTGGAAAGTACCCAAGGTATTCAATAAAGTGAGTAATAGAAGAATTGTGGACTAATGGAGTGTTTCTTTTGGTGGGGGTGACACACTCTTGATTAATAATTAACTATGGGGGAAACTTTGTGATATAAATGATAATGTTGGGAACTTTGAATTACTTGGATTAAATGTTGGTCGTATTAATGTTAGGAGAGGGTTTATTGAACTTATTGAAAGTTTATTTAAACCTTATTATTTTTATAGGATGTTTAGAAGAAGAGAAACTCAATTGAAGCTATAAGAAGTGAATTTTGAACATGAGGAGTACTATAGGTAAGTAAATAGCATCCCAATGACTTGGTAATAAAAAAAATTCATTTTATTAAAAAAAGTTGATTGAGCATATTCGCGCGCGCGTGTGTGTAGTGTTAATATTTTAACTCTACTTTTGATATTGACCATTTTATATGAAAAATTTTCATTATATCAAATTTTATATAAAAAGTTAAAATTTTGTTTCAAATGAATATCATAAGAATTACCTTTACAAATAATATTTTAGTATTTGCGATGCCTTTAAACTTAACTATTTAAGATAGATTTCATCATGGCAAGTTATTCAAATTATATATCTTTCTTATTGATATTTAAAGATTAATCTAAAATAAAGATTTTATTTGATATTTTTTTATATATTAATTGTAAACACTCATGCATGGAATAGATAAATCCTTCCAGATATCATTTAGGAGGTCTCGTGTCGAGAAAGTTTTATGTTCAACAATATTCTTTTTTGAATCTCAATATAAAAAGACAATGATATGATGTTCCGATAATAAGTTGATTTCATATGGGTTTGAAAAATATTTCGGTGGGATTGAATACAAAATGCTAGTTGCTAACAATAGTCCTATTAGCCCTTGACATGTCATGGTTAAATCCTAGCTAGCTTAATATTCGTGAGTATCATACTCACACTTGTTTCGTGGGTCTTATGCTTGTGCTCGTTATTAGTAGGTTTCATGCCCGTGCTTGTTTCATGGCTTCTAGCCACGCTTGATCATTTCATGGCTTTAAGCCATGCTTGTTGGTTACTTTCTCTCGTGGATTGTGTGTCCATGTTTGATTGATAATTTACCCTCATGAACTATGTATCCATGCTTAATGATTATTTATCCTTGTGGACTTTGTGTCCACGTTTGTTAACCATTTTGATTGAGTCCCGCAAATTATGAAATTTTGAAACACATCATCTTTTAAATTAGTTTTTCTAAACAAGCTGTTTGTTTGACTATGCATGAATTTCTCTTTGTAAGATGAATTATATAATTCAGTTGTTTAAGGCAAAGGTCATAATTTGGAAGTTGAACTTGATGTTTCCAATCCCTTAACCAACCTTGTATCTATTTGGTTTACATATTTTTATAAGATTATTGAAATATGCAATGTGTTTTATTTTATTATAATAATAGTTATTATTGTGAAATTCATAATTGTTTTATAAATATTATCTCCCTTTTCCTTTCTTTAAATCTAAATTGGGACATTATTCACTGAAAAGTTATTTTTGGTCTCAGATTCGTTAGATGATGGTGAATCTCTTGTTGACTTCTAAGGGTTTTATAGTTGAGCCAGTTGGAGATTTAATTGAAATTATTTCCTTTTGATGTAATTATAGAATTTATGTATTTTATTTTGAAAATATAATTAGGTGCTCCATATATGCTATAGTTAGAATTCTATTGTCGTTATATACTTTGTCTGTTGGCTGGAAGGAGCAAAGTTCTTATTTGATGTGGTATTTTGTCAAAAATTGTATTATAGAATTTATGGAAGGTCTTATTTATAGGGGAAATGCTACCAAAATTTTTATAAAACGCTTAGGAACCTTTTGTTTATATGAAAATGTTACAATAATTTTTCATCCTACCTTAAATGAGTTAAAAATATTATATTAAAG